CCAAGAAAAAGGCAAAAACACAGAAAGACCAGGCGAAAGAGTGAACAGATGTTACACAACCAAGTTGACACAGGAACATGTTCACTGCTGTGTTACATCACTTTTCCTTTCAACATCACTTAACAAATGTTTGGGGACTGTAGATACTTGGTTCAGTTTTTAAAATGTAATTTTTGCCATTCTTCTGTTATATAGCCATCTTCAACTGTACAGCCATAGAGGGCATTCACTGCCGTATTTTGAGCTTAATAAGACACGTTTTCAGCTGGAGACAGTTCTGAACTGCAGGGAGGCCAGTCTAACACCTGCAGTCTCTGATTACACAGCAGAATACGTGCAGAATATGGCTTGGTGTGTCATGAAATAAGCGTGGATGTCTGGATGTTGATTTATGGCTTCTACTGTGCATAGTACTGACTTAACTCACATTTGTGGATGCAACAACAGACAGTGTTTATCGAGTTTGTTGAGGTTTGTCAAAGTATTTCTGAGCCTATGTGTGATGTCCATCACATAAACATGCCAGTTTTTAATGCAGTGCCATCTGAGGAGTCAAAGGTCATGAGCATTCAATAGGGGTTTTTGGCCTTTTCCCCAGATTCTCTGAATATTTTGATGATATTATGGACTATAGATATATCCAAGCATGATTGCATCACCTGTTTGAGATATTTTTTAAACATTTCACAGTGTTTCTAGTCTTAAATTGCTCTTGTCCCAACTTTTTGGAATGTGTTGCAGGCATGAATTTCAAAATGAGGGTATTTGTACAAGAAACAACAAAGTTGATAAGATGAAACATTACATATCTTGTCTTTGTACTCGTTTGTACTTTGTATTTGTATTCATTCAATTACAGGTCAAAGTAGATTTATAAATCATCCCTTTCTATTTTTTACCCTTATTACCTACTGTTTCATCTTTTTTTAAATTGGATTTGTAATTGTAAAAAATACTGTATAACATTAAACTTACTGCTTCTGTTAATTCCATGATTTTGTTTTTTTGCAACGTTGAACTTCCAAAAATTTGCTAAATTTAGTGGCCCCTGACAGCTTTCCAACTCTTGTTCATCAGGAGAATTCCATCAGAGCATTTTTCTGGATTTGCTCAAGGCCACGTGAAAGGCTGTCAACAGCAAAGGCAGGCAATCTGCGGGACAAAGGAACCTGAAGACACAACAGGAGCAGCCTGCGCACAACACCCAGGCATACAAGGTGCATATAGTGCAATGAAAAGCCTGTTAGCATTTTTAATCATGTTCTTTGCAGTTGTGTGGGACCACAGATGTTCTTCATCTGTTTTAGCCCTGAATAACTCATCTGTTCTCAGAAAGGAATCACTTTCAGGAAAAACAACTTCATTCTTGACATATTTGCTCTTCACACAGCCATTGTAGCCTGAGTGGCCTTTTATGTGCTTCACGAAGGCACATGCCAGAGCATCACAAACCACTGTGCTCAGCCTTAATGACAGGAAGTCTTCTTTGTTACCAAATTATTTTTCCAGATCTGAAATGCCTGACTCAAAATCTTCCAGGATGGCATCCAGTGACCCTGGTTTTTGGTTGCCAAAAAACAAACCAATAATAGCTGGAATATGTTTTGGATTTTCAATAATTCTTAGAATTGTCCAAAATTGCATGGTGGAACTCTTGAATAAAGATAAGCCATCAGTCTTAACCTGGAGGTCCAGAAGGTGTCTTTCCTTTACAACATCCTTGTGTTCTTCTAAGAGATCTGTAATAGATTCAAGCAAAGTGATAATACTGTCTCCCAGCTATATCTTTGCAGCTAATTTTGGCAGAACAAACTGTTGCAAGCAATGTTCTTGCATCATGAGGGAGCCCTGGGTGATACCATTTAATGCACAATGTGTAATGTTGTGCTCGACAGCCCATGATGCCAAACTACTTTGCAGAGAGGCTTGGAAGTCTGTATCTGAGTCTGTGTTGAATTCACTCTCAACAAAGAGACATCAAAAAATCTTCATTGTCATAATTGAACAGTCTTCAAACTTCTCATCATTTGGTTCTTGCATTTGATAGCAATTCCCACATCCCCATCCATTAACATAGATAGACTGTAGTTGTTTATCAACTCCAGCTTTAGACTTTCTTGTTAATGTCCAGTACGAGGTGCTGTGAAAGCAATACTGTACTGACAGAAGAAAAGAGAACAAGAAACATACAATAAACAAGTAGCTTAAACAGTCTTCAATTATATTTTGACATCCGAATGGGTACTTACTGGATGCAGATCAAAAAGTCAGATGTTCACAGAGAATTAGGAATCTGTTGTAAGGGAAATATGAAGATGTTTTGTCAGTTCTGAATCATAACAGGTACCAAAGGTGCTATAGTATTACTTATTTCATTCAACTATTTAATATACTCTTAAGTCTTAAGCTTAATCGAAAACATACATTCTGTCAGGTGTGTCTACATTTTTGAGAGGTAGTATGTGAGATGTTTTAACATAACTAACATTGCCAAAATTGCTATTATGTTTTTTCATCACATTGCTGATGTGTTACTTAATATTTCTAACACAGTGATGCCACAGCTTCTTATGAAAATATGAAATATATAGATATGTACAATTAGGATTTTGTCAGATGTGTATTGTTAAATGTCTCCGTGATGTTAAAACACTTGCTAGTAAGTGGTCGACATCGCACATTACACCATCAAATTGGCTGTGTAGAATCCTACATTGCAAACTTAAATTGCTTTCTACATTTTATATATGTGAGGTGAGGGTTATAACATTAAATTGCCATATTACCTGCCACATGTTGATGTAGAGTTTAATCCACATTTCCATGCATTGCATCTCCCAGCCCACCTGATTCAACTTATGATGGCTTTGATTAGCTGATAAAATGGATTTCATGTGTTGGGCAAAGAATGTATGGAGCTATGCTGGGAAGGGGTTTTCAGGAGCAGGATTAAGAAACACTAATCTAGAGGATTCTTCAGATATACAGATACAAACAGACTAGTTTGAACATCACCGGTCAAATTACATGGTCTGTTGGTTTTGTAAGTGAAAGTAAGTTAACATAATGTGAAATGTGGCATTTTTCTACCAAACAATCAACTTATTTGCTGAGAATACAAAATATACTTAAAAAAGTTAAACGTAAAATGCGTTATAACTTTTGCATAGGCCACATGTTATATTTTTACAATATATTAAATGCTGCTAGCACACAGCAATTTGTGCATTAAAGCATGCAGAAGCCTCTGTTGAGGATGTGTTAACTTTTTCACTTAGAAGCACAATAAAGCCTCATTAATTATATGTAAATATCAAAACAAGCCAACAATTTCCAGTCAGGTTAGCTAAGTTAGCTTGCTAGGTTATTTAGCTAGCTAGCTATATTAAGGTAACATATGGTGAAAGTCAAAAATGTTATTTTCGAAGAACAGCCTATATACTTTTTTCGTCTTGGTGTGTGTTGTGTGTATAATCTTTTATAACCCGGTCTACATCACTGTCTGAGATATGAGAAAGGTCCTTAAGACAACTTATGAAGCGCTTTCTATGTTTTAAAACAACCAGCAGACTAACAGGATGTGTTTTACCTGCTTCGTCGCTATCTGCTCTAAACGGCATCGGAGTGTGAAAAGGCTCCACTGATCTGACTCGCTGAAAAGAGTCTGAATCCCCACCACTAATTTAATGACCTCTAAATTTTCCGAATGGAGCACTTAATATGATATGTGATCTGTGTAATATGTGATCTACAAGCCGGTTATAGCGCAGGAACGAATTCGATAGTTGCCCCCTCATATGTGTCCAGACCGTTACACGAGGTTGTGCACAGGCTGCGTTAGGCAGTCTTCTGTGTGCGTCTATGACAAAACATTAAAACAGACGAGAAGGTAGGTTTTTAAAATTTCGCTTATTGTTATATGTAATGTTTAAAGTCACAACAAAGATAATTTTCACTTCAGTTAAGCATTAAGTTTCAGCGATACCCCGCTCCCAAGCTCAAACTAAATGTTCGCGGATGGCCTTAACGGCGTTACGTGAGTCCCCCATAGATATACATACACAAATGCCGCGTTGGGTTCAGCCACGCGCGTCAAAGGCGCCGCCATTTTAAGGCAGTCAACGTCGTTGCTGGACCGCATTCAGTACCATCACGGAGCGGCAGATCAGAAAAGGTACTGTAGTTATATTAATTTATTTGCAATGATTGTTAAAGCTATATAATTAGAAAATAGCTTTGGTAAGAGAAATTCTTGAGCTGTAAAGCTAATGCAGGTACAACCAAATCCAGCATTTAGCTTAATGAAAGAAAATGAAAAAATATGTTGAATCCGTTAACTGTAAAGCTTATTCTTAACATTCACAGTTTTTGAGGTGTCATGTAGCGATTGTTTTTTTATTATTATTATTTTTTTTTATTTAATGATCTCTGTTATGTTTATATAAATACTTGATTGAGAAATCAAAGCTGAAAAAATCTGATTTGAAATGAACACACAACTCAATCTGTTTATTGTACAGGTCAGGTTTTATTGGATGGTGGAATCATCTAAAGACATCAGACTGTGGAACCCCTTTCTTCTGTGAACTTGGGTGATCTTGATTCCTCTGGTAAGGAGTGACAAGCCAACCTAGAAAAAGACAATTGCATGCAGAAGATTAAAGCTCCATCAGGACTAAACAAGTAATAAATAGCTTTTGGGGGGGGCGGAAACTGAAAGGATACTCACTGGAATTGAAAAACAATGGGACACATATTCACGCTAAAGCATTCTCCATATCTATATTGTTTTTTTTAATTATTCATTTTTAATTTTTTCCTTGCAAATTGTAAAGTGAATTGCATCTGAAGTGTTTTCTTAATTAACTTTTATTTTCTTAATTTTTTTCTTGCCCTTTTAAGCACTGGTCTCAGTCAAACACCTTATTAAATACAACCAACTCTATACTGAATCTAAATCTGGTCCACTAGTAAAATAATAGTAACAAGGGTCTTACCCATTACAGTTGGGATGAGAACGCTTGGATGACGGAGCAGCGTGGTGGCCTGGCAGTGTTGGTCACGGCCCTCCAGTGACACTTTGAGCTGACGGCAGAGCTGAGTATGATGGTTTGGCAGGCACATCTGGTGCTCAAGAAGGCAGGAGGAGGAGCTGAAATAGAGGAACCGAGCAGCTCGCCGCACTGGCTGGCCTTCAAGCCATCACAGCCGAGGCAAGGAGTACCTCCATACATGGGAAGAAGGACGCAGCACTCAGTCTCTCTGGTGCGGCACTGCAAGAGAGGACTGGGTCGCACATGGTGGCGGTGCCATGTGTGTTTACCGGGGTGGGTGCAGCATACTCCTGAGTGCGCCACAGACTTTGCTCAATCTCTTTGAGGTCACTGGGACAGCTCACCTTGAACTGGGGGCTAGGGGGCTATGTAGTGACCCACCACTGGCTCGTGCTGCCATAAAGCAGGGGAGGCATGGTCATGCAGAGTATATCTACCATTAAGGAGAGTTATATGGTTAGAAGTGACCTGCCTGCTGTCTCTGCTGTTTCAGTAGCACTGAGCAGTGGTTCTCCTCTGCCGCTGTGTTCAAGAAAAGAGCATTTGCTTATGTGCTTTTTCCCATGTGCCATAATGTTATTTAGAACATCATCAGGTTTTGTTGATAACTCTGTGTGTGTGTGTGGTTTTGGGGTTTTGTATGTGTGTGAGTGTGTGTGTTTTGAGCTGTGCTCCTTTTGACTTTTGCAACACTGATATTTGCTCCTCTGGAGTTCGTAGTATTTAGAACATCATCAGGTTTTGTGAGTGACTCATTTTAGCCTTTTTTTTCCAGTTGTCTGTCAGACTGAGCTCTCATTTAATATCACAGCAGTTGGATTTGGGCTCTGAGCTCTAATCCATCTTCAGCAGCTCCTCGAGTTCTCTATCAAACTCCTCATAAGACTCTAGTTTAATCATTTTTTTTGTTTTGGAAATAAACTTTGGAGCAGGAACCTTTGCATCTTTTGGTTTAACATCACTTTGTTTCAGGTTCTTCTGCACGAACGTTTCATCAGGTGTGTACTGCTCAATTTCTGAGTCCTGTCTAAGCAGTGACTTCAGTTTCTCACTGTTTGGAAAAGTCACTGGAGGATCACTAAATGTCACTTTTTTAGCCGTTAGTTTCTTTTTCTTCTTGTCATGCTCTCTCTCCATTAGCTGATGTTCTTCAAAGCTGCCAGTGTTTGTCTTTTCCTGATCGTTTGTAAGATCGAGCTCTTTCTGAGATGTCCCTTCTTTTGTTTCCTTTCCCTCACTCTCTGTCTCCGTCATTTCACTTTCTTCCCTCTCTCTTTCCACCTCCTGCTCTCTCAGTCGCCTCCTCTTCTTCTTTATCTTTCTTTTCTCGTCTGCAGTCCTCTCTGTCTCCATCCATTCATCAACTGTCTCAGTCTCTGGTCTCTTCTTTTTTTTCTTTTTCTCCTCTGTGATCCTCCCCTCCATCTCTTTCTCCATCAGTATTTTGTCTGTCTCTATCTCTTCTATCTTTTGCTCTTTTCTCTTTTTTCTCTTCTCTGCATGGATCATCTCCTTCTCGTCCCTCTTTGCTTCTATCAGTCTGTTGGTCTTCTCCATCTTCAGCTCCTTTTTCTTCCTCTTTTTCTCTATGACATTCTCTTCCCCCTCTCTCTCCATCAAACTCATGGCCATTTCTCTCTCTGCTCTCCTCTGCTCCTTTCTCTTCTTCTTCTCCTCTACAATTTCCACCTCCCCCTCACTCTCCATCTCTACACTCTTCTCCTTTCCCCTCTTTGTCTTCACCAGAGGCTTCCTCTCCTCCTCCACCAGTTTGTTGAGAGCACTCTCTTTCTCCAGATTCTTACAATCTTTCTCTTGTTTCTCCTTCTGAAAGAGGATCTCCTCTCTCGCAATAGCAATGACATCCTCTCTCTTTATTTCATCCTGCTCTCTCCTCTTTCTCTCCTCCTCCTCTCTCTCAAGTCTCTTCCTCTGCCTCCTTATCTCTTTCTCTGCCTGCTTCTTCTCTCTCTCTACAGCATTCCGCTCCTCTTCGATCTTAACCTTCTCTGCATCAATAGCCCTCCACTCTTCTTCTGTTACCATCCTTCTCACCTTCTCCATTCTCTCCATTTTTGTCTTCTGTCTTTGCATTTCTTTCTCAGTCAGACTCTCTCTGTAGACATGCATCACTCTCTCCGTCTCCTTCTCTTTCTCAAGAGCCTCTTTTTCTGTCTCGATGTTCACCATCTCCATTCCAATATTCTTCCATTCCTTTGCGATCATTCTTGTCTTTTTCTGCATCATCTTTCTCTCTTCCTCCACCATCTTCTTGTATCTCTCTTTCTGCAGCTCATTCTCCATGGAGGCTCGCCTTTTCTCTTCTTCGAGTTTCATTCGCTCTCTCACCAACTCTTCATTCTTCCTTGCCTGCAGTAGCTTTTCCTCCATCACTCTCCATCTCTCCATCTCTCTCTCTCTATCATGTCTGATCTCCTCATGTTGTTCTAAAGCAGTTGTTTTCCATTGCTTGGCGACTTCCATGAGGAGAATTCTTTCCTGTGCTGCTATCCTCTCCTGTTCCTCTCTCAGTCTTTCTTTCTCTCTCTTGATCTCTCTCTTTTCTGTCTCGATCTTTATTCTTTCTACCTGAATCTTTTTGAGTTCCTGCTGCACTGTCTGGTACTCCTCTTTCTGCTTCTGGAGCTCCTTCAGCATCCCCCTAACTTCCTCCAATGTCACCTCCAGAGCTCTCTCCTTCTGCCTCATCTCATCTTCCTTGATCTGCCTCTCTCTCAAATACTCCTTCAGCTCTATAACAAAGCGTTACATTATGTTAGGCCATCTGAATGCAAGGCACAATGTGAAGATCAGCCTATAAGGCAAAGTGCTCATAGTAGCAAGTTACTTACAAATTAACTTACTTTATTTATAGAGCACTTTTCTTACATGTAGAAGCTCAAAGTGCTTTACACTTAAATAGTAAGTTAAAAAACTAAAAGCAGAAAGATGAGAATAGCAAAAAAAATAAAATATAGTTCCACTTTAGATCCCTGCAGCTAATACCTCTCTCAGAGAATTAGACAATCTAGACCTAAACAATCAATTCCTGATCTTAGTCAATGACCCCCTTCCTTTTCAGCTATAAATACTAATGTAAAATCACCTCACCATCTACACAGCTGTTGTTTTCCTCCTCCTCTCTCCTCCTCTCCTCTTCTTTCCTCCATTCTGCCTTGAAGAGCTCCATCCTGTGGTCCAGTTCACGGCTCATGATATTCTGGAGAGCCTCCACCCGCTTCTCCAGCCATATTCTCTCCTGGAAGAACTTCACCTGCAGGTGCTCTCTCCATTCCTCCCTCCACATCGTTGCGTTCAGTCCATACTGAGAGAAGAAGAGACATTTTACATTGAGTTAAAACAGAACATTTTTTATGTTAATGTGTAAAACAACTTATAATTTAAATCTTGTAATGAGAACCAACCATTTGGAGGACGCAGTAGTGATGATGATAGCGATGAAACACAGTTGAGGTCTGTCCAGTAAACTGCGGGTAATCAAAATGAGTGCAGGACGAGCAGGTTGACCCTTTGTATATTGTGACGTAGTATACGTTTCGCGGTCTCATTGTGATGCTTGACAGCCAGTCTTTTCAGGGTCTGTCCACTCTCCCTGATTATTACATTTACTGCACTGAAACAGACTGAAACAGTGTTTTATATCGGACACCCACCATCACTAAACTCACAAAGCAGCTCAGATATTTTTATTTCGTTTTTATTCTATTTAATTATATTTGTTTACTTTTTATGTAATATTTGTATTTTCTGTACCGTTATGTTAAACGTATATATAATTTATATTTATGAATGTTCTTAGTATTTAGACCTTCAAGTAACGTTGTTTTGCATAGCGATTGCGCCGAAATGACTTTCATAAATGTCAAGGAACTTATCATAAACGACGCGTCTGTTAGCTTAATACACTTTTTCCTTTTTTTTTCTTTTCTCAGTTCTGTTTCGTCATCAGCTTTCTGTAAGTTTCACCAGAGTTCTTCTGCTCTCCTGGTCAAATTGCGTGTTTTGTTGATTTTCTAAGTGGAAAAGTAACACATCCTCTACAGAGAACACACTTCTGCTCTTTAAATGCGCACTGTGTATTTGCTGAATTGAACATAAATATGACGTTTATATTTTGTGTATTATTTTTTTTTCCAAAATGTTAAACAAATACAAAAACAACCAGAAAAATTCCATATTTAAGTGTGTTCACTGTGGAGGATGTGTAACTCATTTTCAAATGACAAAACAGGCCAAGCCTTCCTCTTCTTTCAGTTTCTTCTTCTTTTCAGCTTCTGGTTTTCTTCATTCTGATGCAGCTCGTCTCTTGTTTGTGACTCTTAGCAAACAGAATCGTCTGCTGTGACTGTAGTGTGTTTTCCTGCTTCTTATATTGGGTTTGTTTAGCTTGTTCACTGCTAGACACAGCTGTAGGAAACCAGGGAAATTTGTTATGTCAAATTGAACACTTTATTCTCCAATAGTTATCTGATGTAAATGTACTGTAGTTCTGTGTTATGACCTCTAGAGGGAGACATGAACCCACTAATAAAACAACAGAGAAAGCTACTCATCAAAACATCATGCACTATTCAGGAAAGTGTTTATTTCCCATCTGTTCAAAGTGTTGTTTGTGTTGTCTGTGAGGTTGTCTTTCTAAGCGGAGTTCTGGGAACATAGAAGGGGATGTAACAAGCCCACATGAAGAACATCCTTGGCCCATTTGTCACCTCTGTTCAATTTCCAACGCATCACATAAAACCACGAGCAATAAGCATGGGAGATGTTCTTAAACTCCCTTAAAACTCCCTTCCCTGTGATAAAATAATACATTTTATAAAACAGCGGCCATCCTAAAATATGATAAAATACACAATTGTTCAGAAAATAATTTAAGTTAATATAACAATGAACTTAGAGGTGGGTAATCCAGGTCCAAAAAGTAAAAACCCTCCCCGGGATTTTGTTTCAACTGCTTGACTTCTCTAATTTGCTCAAACCAGCAGCAAAGGTGTTCAGGCAGTTGGAACAAAATCCTGGGGAGGGTTTTTTGTTTTTTGGATCTGGTTTACCCACCTCTACAATGAACATATGATAACACAACACTGTGTAATGCAACATCTTTCGATTCTTAAACAGAATTAATCTTCATAAAGCAGTGTTGACTGGGTGAAATTTGTGCTAAATGTTATTTTCGTAAGGTTGGGGTGTTTTATTAACCCAGTTAAATTCACTTACCTACAGTTATTGTAGAGATGTTTTGGAAGAGTGACTCACCTTGCTCACAATGAACATGTCTTCACGCTTAATGATGCCCTGCCTTGCGGACAGCCTTGTCCATGTCCACCTCAGTCTGATAGACGATGGCTGTGTCCAAGTGACGGTAACCAGCATCTATTGCTTCCTCAAGTATTTCTTGACTCTGGCCTGAAGTTGCGACCTGATGATCAAACAGTACAACATTTCAGTTTCAGTGTTTATCCAGAGAGAGAGAAAGAGAAACACAGCCGGGTCTTTCTACACCAATTCACCTAGAACCTGGCAGGTCACACCATAGATTTCCGTGGAAATAAAAATAGGAAAAAATATTACATAAAACATAAAATAGTTTTATATTAATTCCTACTACTTGTTAACTTATTAGCACTATTAAGTTCATGTTCTTATGAAAGTGTGGAAACTTTGAAATGTAAATTTTCAGTCAGTTTTCAACATTAATCTGCAAACAGTAGTCCAGCACATTAACCCCACCAGTAGGCCTAGAAACCACTATTGTATTTCACAATACCAACTGTATCCAACTTGCCAAGTTTTTCCCTGTTACAACACTTCACAAGGTTTAATCCCTTTAGGATGTGCCAGCAAAGCCAAACTTTATCACACACTTTTATAATGTATGAGTGCTAGTTTGCATTGTAGTCCTTCTATTCTCTGAATGATAAGAGCTGGAATGTAATAAACCTACGAGCATGGAAGTAATCAAACTGTTCCAGACTGTGTCTAATGGTAAATAATGCTGACAACTTGATAAATTAGATTAACCATTTTTGTGCATTGCTCACATTTGTGATTACAACATGGGGTGTAAAGATAAACATTAACTTGTATGCATTTTTGCTAGTTGGTTAAGCTAAAATATGCCAGTACCTAAAAGGACTTGTTCCACAAAAATAAGAGTTTCTTTTTAAATTTCAACTTTTCTTTACTTAAAAGAATCTGTGAAAACAATGTTCATAAACATTTTGCTTCGTTGGTAAGCTTATTATTGTTTCCTCACTACTCTTAGTGATGAGTAAAATTTGCTGTGTCATACTGACTTAGCATAAGATTTCTCTGACCTACTTCATGTACTTCTTGTGCCCCGCCCACCTCAGCAAATCCAGACCAGTCAAAACTATTATTACATGTCAACTTTTGTTGTAGCAATAATGCAATATCAGATATTGTGATCAGCAGTAAAGTTTTATAGGCTGTGATGGCCCATTTTAGTTCCACCCTGTATGTTTGAGAACCTTAAAAATATGAACGTTTGTCCAATTCCAAGCGAACAAAAAACCTGTTTATATTACATACACATACCAGGGTAAAGTTCAGTGATTAGGCCTTCTGCCCTGAACATCTTTTAAAGCCAGTTTAATTTTAAATGAAAATTTGAAATTTAAATTTTTAGTCAGTTTCAGCATTATTTCTGCAGAAAAGTAATCCAGCACATTAACCGTACAAGTAGATCATAAGTCCAGCATAATTTGGAGATTACAGGGTTTAATCTTGACCTGCCAGCGAGTCCAAACTTTTATCACACCCTTATTTAATGTAAGAGTGACTCAGCTAGTGACTTTGCATTATAGTCTTTGTAGTTACTGAAGCATGATAGTTGTAATAAACCTTGGATTTTAAGGGGTTAATAGGGGTGTGCTACAGTGGGAAAGTAACCAAACTGTGCCAGACTTTAACACCACCTCTGCAATAGACCAACATGAATATGCTTTGATAAGTCTTCAAATAAGTGATACGTTCTCAAACAATATTACTATTTTAACCTCCAGCATTGAGAATTTTAGTTTTGAGTAACGGTTGCTATTCATACTGTTATCATAATTTTCACCTGGCAAGACCAACAATGAATTATTATTTTTTTTCATTTTGTCCAGGTGCAGAGTGTCTGGCTACTGCTGGATAATTTTCTTCTTCAAATTTACTTGAAATGACTTAAAGTTAAAGAATTTGCATAAAGGTGACTTTCCAAGCTTCTCTGTTTTGGTGGCAGAGATGTTTATTTGAGATCAAAATTTGGCCCTGAGTGCCAAAGATGCTGAGTGAAGTAAACACAGCAGACAGCAGAGATTTGTGATGGTTGCCGATCAAAGAAGTATACTTGCTCTACATACACAATTTCAGAAATGCCTTTCAATAAAGTCAAACCACCTTGGGAACATTTAATGTCCAGTATGTCTCAGTGTGTGCTAATGTCCTAGTATGGGCTAAAAATATAAACGAGAGCGCAGATTTACTTCGCTCTGCTTTAAGCTTTAGCTTTAGCCGCTTTCCTCCCATCTCCGCCAGAAAACTTTTCTTCAAAACTAGAAGAGTTTCTAGTAAAATGTCTCAGCATCCGGCTGTTTCACGAGGCTGAAGTTGCTTCTCATTCGCCAGTTTCTCGTTCTAATTTTCCCGTTCCACCTTAAATTCTGCCTTAGGTGCCGAATGTAACTGCTGCACCATTTAAGGTGGAACGGGAAAATACGAAAGAGAAGCGAGTTCATTTTCGCAACTTTTTAGAGAAAGACCGTCTCTAAGCAGATTTAACCAACCGCGCTGCTTATAAATGCGAATAGTCCTCCAAATGTTCGTCTTAATCTGTTTTTTCGTTCGCTACTGGCGAGGCCAGACTTCGGGGCTATGTGACCTGCTGTCTGCTGTCTGTTCTCGGTCGTTGAGAACCAGGGCTTTCGCGTTATGCTGCACACTTTGGAGCCGAGATTCAGCGTCCAGTCTCGAAAATACCCGCCCCCCCCAACTCTCTACAAAGAGACCAAAAGGGTGGCTGTAACGTACTGCGTGGACACCCATTGCCTCTGGATCTTATTTCAGGGCAACAGCGCATTTTATCGCTGATGAGTGGCAGCAGCGTCTCTGAATGAGAGCCTTCTAGTTCACTTGTCACATCACTTCCATTTGATTTATTAATAAAAGATCTTTTAGATAATTTAAGCAAAGTATTTGTAATGATCCGTAATGCATTTACATTATGGATCATTACAAATACTTTGCTTTAAAACTACCAAGTCCTCAGACAGTAGGAAGATAGAAATCATGTATAGAGAAAAAAGATGCATCGAGATGCATCGATAATCATTTTATAAATGCATCGCAGTCCTCTGAATCGTAATCGAATCGAATCATGAAGTGCCTAAAGATTCCCACCCCTAATCTTGACAGTCCTGGAACCTACGCTAGAGTTCTGTTTGTGGACTTCAGTCTTTCAACACCATAGTGGCAGAGCTGCTGCAGGTCGAACTGTCCCAGCTGTCTGTGCCAGGTCCCATCTGCCAGAGGATCATGGATTTCTGGCCAAACAAGAGACACCAGGTCTGGCTAGGAAAACACACATCAGACCCCCGAACTCTCAGCACCAGTGTACCACAAGGCTGTGTGCTCTCACCCCTTCTCTTCTGTCTCTTTACCAAAGACTGTGTCTCTAAGGAAGCAGCTGTGAAGATCCTGAAGCTTGCAGATTACACTACTGTGGTGGGCCTCATTGCCAACAAGGATGAGTCTGCCTAAAGAAAGGAAGTTGAGCAGCTAGTCTCGTGGTGCAACACACAGAAGACTATAGAGATGGTGATGGACTTCAGGCACAATCCTCCTTCCACAACCCCGCTCAACATTAATTCTTCTGTGGTTTCCACTGTGGAGTCTCTCAAATTCCTGAGCGCCAACATGTTCAGGGACCTGAAGTGGGAGAGGAACACGCTCTTTATAGCCAAGAGAGCTTGTCAGAGAATGTTCTTCCTGAGACAGCTAAAGAAATTCAACCTGCTGCAGAGTCTACACAGCAATTATCGAGTCCATGCTCACATCATACAGAACCATCTGGTTTGGTTTCTCCATCTCAAAAGAAAGAGCCAAACTCCAGCACAAAATTAGGACAGCAAAGGGGATCATTTGATTGTATTCTTCCAACGCTTTAGGACATCTATAATATCAGAGTGACAAAGTGTGCTGGCAAAATACCAGCTTACCCCTCTCATCCTGGATGTCACCTCTTCCAGCCATTTCCCTCTGGTAGAAGATTCAGTTTGATTTCAGCTTGTGACATTTCATACATGTGTGCACTCACCAAGACAAATTCCTTGTATGTATTACATTATTATTTGATGAAATGAAGTGATTCTAATTTTGATTCTGATTATTCTGATCCAGAACAAGTGTCCCTGACATGCACTGTTACCTCAGTCACAGCACATCAGTCCTTATTTCTTCATCCAAAAGGTGAAGAAATAATAACTCAGTGATGAAATGGCTCAAGTTCTGGTGATGAAATGTATAGCATGCTGCAGACCCCATGTGGGGAGCTGTGCTTTTCCAAGCTAAGGAAGCCCCCTGTTTCTGAGGGTTCCAAAAACAGTTCCAACATTTCACTCAGAGACCCCTTTTCTAAGGGTCCTGAGAATGCACAAAATGCAGCACAGTAATTCAGTAGTTGAAAACAAAACAGCAAAATGTGAATGTAATACAGTCCAAGCTGGAGGTTGTATCATGGAGGTTTTGTCCTAATGCAAATATGAACTAAACCAAAATTGTCTTAAGCCAAAAAAACAAGCACTCAAAAACTTAGTAGGGATTTCCAATTTTATGTTACTCTGACTCAAAATGCCACCATGAGCAGGCAGACTTCTTAATTTCAGGAAAGAGCAACAGTAACTTTAAGAAAGCAAAATATAAACCTATTTTATTATTATGCAACACAAATATGATAATTTTCTCTATATTTCTTTTTTAAACCCTTTTAACATTTCTTCTACTTTACTGAGACCTTAAATCTAAAAAAAATGAATGTAGTTTTTTTTATAGAAATCAACATACCTATCTTTTAAATTGGTTAGAAGAAAAAGATCGAGACTAGAAATAAACATCAGTGTTTGTGATACTGGTAATAGCAGCCCTTTGCTGTGGCCTGAAAACAAACTCTGAACAGTAGGAAAGTGAACTGGAGAGTACAAGAACTGAACATGTTGACAACACATACTTTTATTTTGAGGATAAACTTCTTAGATAGAATCTAACTAAAACAC